ATTTCAAAAGTGGTATATTATTTTCTGCCATACATTTTATAGCCTTTTTTGAGGTATGGCACGCTGCACCATCTTGCTGAAACACAAAATCTTGGCCGGATGTCAAACATTCTTCCATCACTGGTAAAAGCGATTCTTCTAAAATTGCCAAATATTTGTTTGTATCTACATATCCATCAATAAAATGAATTTTTCATACTCCTTTTGATGACATACTGCCCCAGACCATAATGCATGCTGTAAATTTCACTTTTCTCTCTTAACTCTATTGCGACTGTCATCAACATAAACTTCGAATCGGGCCTCATCACTCCATTGTATTGCACACCATTGCTGAGGTGTCCATTGTCTATGTTATTTAGACCATCTAAGCCGATTTTTCTTTTGCAGTGGAGTTAATAGTGGCTTTTCTTTGGCTTATAAACAAGTTGTGCAACTTTAGGGTTTTTACTTCACTTTTTTTATAAGAAAACTTACCTTGCAAATGCTAAATCCCAGTTTGTGGGCCTCTCTCTGAGTTGTGGACCTCGAAGTTCTCCTTCCAACAGCGTCACTCCACAAAGCACTGAATTGAAAATAATTGGCACGCCTGTTTTTCACGATTATCCTTCTTAATGCTCTTCGGTCGGCATTTGTGATATTACTTTTTTCACATATCGTGGCTTAATATTAACTGAACCAGTTACGTTATATCTTCTAACAATATTTCTCACTACCCATTTTGAAAACCTTAACAACCCAAAACTATTTTAAACGTATTCTGACAGCTGTGATTAATAAAAACAATTGTCATTGCTTTTATTTTTCACAGCCACCTATGCGTTATAGACTTATTTTGCATTGAAATGAAAATGGGTTGATATGCTGTAATTGCAACATGTGTTATTTTTATGCTGCAAATTTGATTAGGGAGTGATAAAGTTGCTGTTTTCTACTATATATTATCAAAATATTCATTGTTAATATTTTAAACCTATAACACCCGGCTACATTTTTATTATTTGTGTTTGATAAGAAAAAAACTAAGATTTCAATAGTTGAGCCAACTGAAGTGGAAAGGGGCTCTTATATATGTATATATATATATATACATCTTATAAGGGTCCAGGGGAAGCGATTCTTAATAAAATCAACGGCATTTTACGCAAATAGACCGTGAGTCTCTACAAGTGGATTTATATTACGAATATCTGCAATTCGATAAACCTCACAGTTGAACACTTCATCAGATATTCTAGGCTGCAAAGTTATGACATTGTAAAGTCATGTATAGGTTTAGAATTCAATATAACTTCAGGACTCGTCAAAGCATGGCTCGTCCATTCTTCATTTTTCAACTCATTCAAACTGATAATAACTGGCTCCTGTTTTTCGAAGTTTAGTAGCTTAAGCATTATTGAATAATAGCTTTATAACTTCACTTCACTGTATAACACGAGTATACTAAATGATTTTATTATTTATACAGTTAAACGAATACATTTGAAATAACTTGATATACATATATGGTTCAAAATGTGCTTTCAGTATTATGAGGATTGGATCAGTTTCAACATAAAAGCTTATAGTATTAATATTACAAATATTTATTAATGAGAGTTAAATATGTTTGCTAGCTACGAGACCCATTGAAAATATATTCATCGATTTATGGAACTTTTCGTGCTGGTTCACTTTGATTGCTTTTGCATGTTATTACGAGGCAGCGAACACGTGGCATTTTTTTGTCGTGAATAATAATGAATATTCCCTTAATTATCATCTACCAAGAAATATGATTAACCACAGTAATCAAAAATCAATTTAGATTTTAAGAGTATACGGAAGTGTCTGTAGATATGTTGATTTAGCTCTGAAATATGAAAATGGATTTCTGATCAGAAAATAACTGATAATTAATTTTTGTAATTATTCTATTAGCTCGTGGCATAATTTTTTGAACACTCAAATTGGTTTGCCACCAGAATATTTATCCTCTTATTCGAGTTTCGATCATATTAATAATCGCATTACTGTATTTTGCCAATTTATTGTTAATTATTTGATGATCTCGAAACGAGAAAAATTCTTGCCCTTATTGCTCTATCTAATAAATTTCAACTATTCGATGTTTTATATCGACCCCATAGAGTACCTCCTAGATTTCCTTAGAGCTTACTCGCGGTGTAATTCTTCCAGCATATAAGTCCCTATTGACAGACCAGAATTGCATTGGGGTCTCAAGTGCACGTCCTCTTAACGTTTCAATTACTATTTACAGAGCGTCTACTTTTATACGTTTGGCATAAACCATTAGTCAACATAACGTGAATCGGTTGGGTACTCCTGAAACAAATAACGTTTTTTGTTGTTAATCTGTGATTATAGTATTGTTACTATTGTGTTGAGATGGTAAAGATGAAATGACTAGGTATTCATATTTAGTAGCAATTATGGAGGCAAGGCCTAAACATTGGATTACTGCGACACATAAAGTGTCCTTCGTAAAGCGTTAGTTAGCACGAAGGGGGAGAAATAACGCATAGGAGTTCGTATGAAACTGTCTAATCTTCTGATAGATTTACATGAAACATTGTACAAATGCTCCACTATACACACAGAGCATTTTTTAAAGTCTTCATAAGGCGTTGGAATGTTGGATGTAACTTTTCACTCCTCCATTAGATATGCCTCAACAGCACATATTAGTGAGATTCGGCATATTTGGAAATTCAACCCCAACTCTGTTGAATTCTTCCTTAATATTCAATCCTAATGAACAACAAGAAACGGCAACGTTTTTGGTTCATCGTAATATTGTGCGGGGGTACAGAAGCCTTTGTGTGAGGACTAGTCAAAGTAGTGTTCGTCCCAAAGATTGGCAGGATGGATTACACTACTTAGAAGACATTCCGACCTATTAGCTTAACACCGTGGAAAATAGACAATGGAAAAGTTGTTACTTTACTTAAGGGATAATATATTAGAAAACAATTCTTAGCTCAACCAACATGCATACACCCTAGGTACATCCACTAATACTGCTTTGCAAGGATTAAGAAACTGTGGGGTGATAAAGAATTCACCTTGGGTGATCTTATACATGTATATACTGAAGGTGCATTTAATGAAACCATCTTCCAGAAAATTCCTTCAGCGCCCTGAGCCAAGGGAGTTGGGGTGGATTCTAAATATACTTCCAAAAGAGTAGCACATGTCAGTATATGAGATTTTATAATGAGAAGCTTGGTGACGAGGAGCTGCACACAAGGTGGTTCCTCTTACCACTTCTTTGGAACCTTCTCCCTGACAACCTACTGATCAGGCCCAATAGTGAAGAACTACAAATACCCTATGCAGATGACGTCGCAGAACTGTTAAGCGGTAAATGAAATCACGCTCAATGAGCTCTTCGGATTATAGAGGAATGATGCGGAGAAAACGCTTTGTCGATTGATCCCAACAAAAAAGTACTGATTCTTTTCACAAGGAAAAGGAAGTTGGTAACCATTAGTCCACCTGAACACCTTAATGTTAGTTTGCACTTCGCCTCTGAGGTTGAGTACCTTGGGATCACTTAGCATAATTGGTGCTATGCGAACAACACCAACGGGACAAGCAAATATGATCTGAACTTGTCATCACTAGACATTTATCTGGAACAGGTGGTTCTGGCGACAGTGGCACAGATCAAATCGGTCGCTAGCCGAGTATAGGGTGTGAGTTGGCTAGAAGTCGCCCTCTAAGATTTGTCTTTGATCGACCCTACGCTATTTCCACAGAATGAGGAGGGTATCATTAATATCTTTCCTGACAGATCTGAGAAAAATGATGGAGCTGGCTGTCGAGTATATTCCAGAAGCCTCCGTATGAACTTCAAGAGACCTATGGATAAACTTGCCAGCGTGACGCCGGAATGTAACGAGCAAAGATATAAAGATCTGCACGAACTCTCAATTGCTCCAAGCGTACATCGAGAACAGTACCAGTAACAACGTAAAAGTTGCCTTGGCGAAGTGTCATTCACGATCCAATGAGGATATTATAGGTACAAAGTAGCAAAAAGGGCTGCTGATTCCAAAATTGTGGGTTCAGATTCCATATGCATTTTACCGATCGGAGCCCTGACAAGTATGCTAAAAAAGCGCACCACAAAGTCTTCAACAACATGTGGGATAATACGTCGAGCTGCTCATTCACTAAAGAATTTCTCAGCTATCAGAGTTAGGAAGAAGGGAAATACTACCTGTATATGTCTAGACAACAACTTTGTTTTGCTACGAGAACTGCGACTGGGCGTTGATAGCTAAGGAGAAATCTCTGTATTATGTAATTGAGTGACACATCCTTCAGTAGAGGTTGTGAACAGAAAGATGAGACGATCAAGTACTCGCTTTGCGACTACCCAGCTGTCCTATCAATTCGAGAATCCATTCTGGGGGAACACTTGCTAGTATAAGTGAAACTCCGCTGAGTCGTTCTACCATCATTTTCAGCTTTCTGGGTGGCTGACGATCCAGTCTTAAGCGACCCCTTAGGAGAACCTATAGGGGTCTAATGGGGCCTAAGTGTAGTGATCTTGGCTGATCGGCCCTCCTCCTATACAGGGTACAGAATATGACAAAACCGAAATCTATGTTTGAGAAATCGTGGGCAGAACGCTAGTATTCTACACTTTGAGGGGTGTGTGATGGCAGTGACCAATTTTGTTTTTACTGGGTTTGCTTGAGTCTCTTTTGGTTGATACTAAAGATTACCAGACACAATTCATATTTTTTTATGCTGTTGAGACAAAGAATAAATATTCCATTACTTGCTTGACAAGTAAAGTATCAACAATACTGCTCTAGCGCGACTATCCACACACGTTGCAACTCTATGAATTTTACTTGCTAGTGGAGATAAACTTTAAATGTCTATAGAGAAACGTTAGAATGGTGAAAGCCCTACAACTTGTCTAGTTTCTGAGCCACCAGACCTGACAGACTGACGACACACACTGACATAACAGTGACTATGACCTAAAGGCTAAGGTCCTCCGGACCGCCTTGAGAAGCAACGACGAGTAGTATGGTGAAATTTTCTCCTAGGCAGCTGCAGCAACTGACAGTCATGTTCTTGGTAAACGATGTCCTTATATACTATTTTTATTTTATAGAAGTCAAGTAAAAGTAAGTAATACCTCCTTCCATCCTGTGAGAAAATTTTGTTGCAACTGAGTTTTGTACACGCGCAATAGGCATGAAAAGTAGACGAATCCAAATATTTGCCTATCTTTTCTAAATATCTCCTCATCTTTATCGTTCAGGAAAACAAAGTGTCGTCATTCATATAAAAACACAGAAGCTTTCTGTTTCAAAACAGCGCCAGACAGTTCCGTATTTGGGAAAGTTCAACATCATAAGCGCCATCATCAAACGCGAGTACTCTTAGCTGTCGAGATGAGGGATATTATTCACAAGGTTTTCCCCGCAAAGAAGAATGGAGGGGTTTTGACACAGTATCTTGCTGTAGTCAGTGGTGAGTTTTTTATATTTTTTTTACGTTGGGAGCGGCATAATTTTTGATCTAAGAAAAAACTATTTATTGTTCCATAATAAATTCCAATCCATCAAATACAAAACATTTCATTAACCAGACTATAGGCGAAACTATACAGGTATATGAAAATTGCCCCCAAAGGTATCCAAATCTAAAATAATCCAAATTAAGGTTCGAGTATTTTGGGTCAAATTACGGTATGTCGCTCCTAGGGGCCTCTAATATCAAAAACTTTTTTTAAAAATAATTTTTTAAGCACACAATTTTGCTCATGCATGTGTTACTGTTAGTTTTTTATAGATTTGTGGAATGTATAGGTTCAAGATAAACATTTTTTGAATTTTTTTTCAAACTGTTGGTTAGGCAATGAGGATTGCGCAAACTCAAAAAGCTCATGTATGTTAGTGCTATATTTTCAGATCTACTGACGAATTAATGAATTTTTGTCAGGAAAATCGCCAGAAATCGAGAAACTGCATTTTCACTGATTTTCTTCTTGAGGTTTTAACCGTGGGACATCATTAGCTGGCTAAGTTGAGAACTAGAGAAACACATGTATTATTGTTAATTCCTCCAGGGTCTCTATTAAAAGTTTTTTTTTTCGGACATTTGCTAAAATAGGAAAAACCAGTAAGAATGCGGCGTTTTCTATTTTCGTAGCTTCCCGGGAAACAAATCAAAAATTAGTGGAACCTGAAAGATTAAACAAAAAGGGATATTCGAATATTTAAGGGTGTGAATCTACATGAAAAATTAATGTTAGTTTGCTTTATAAACTATGGCCTAAAAATGTTTCCTTACAAAAACTCGGGGTGTTGAACTTTTAGGAAAAAATGGAAATTAATTAATATTTTCAGAACCGCTTCAGATATTTCACTGATATTCAGTACGTAGCGAAAGTTAATAAATATGCGTATTTTTCAATGCAAAAATAATTTTAAGCTTTAACAGTAGCGTACGTACGGGCATTGACATCGATATTTTTTAGAAAAAAATGGTACGCCAATGATTTTTTGCCAAATAAAAATTATTTTTGAGCTCCCGGTGCAATTTAAAACAAATGATCTCTCTTGAATTGTTTTTTTTTCGATGCACCATTTTTGAGTAAAAAATAAAAACCGTTCTATTGTCTAACTAGCAAAATTACTATTAATTTAATTGGAAAAATTAAACACATTAGGGATAATGAACAACAACAACTGACAACATAAACATTAACAATAAAGCCAACGAAGTGATTACACAAATTGTTGAAAATGGCCCCCTTTCAATTAGTATGCATGCTTCCGCCTTCCTTCTCATGGAATTTCTCTACAGTGTTAATGGGACTTGTGTACACTAGTGTCTTAAGATAGCCACACAAAAAGAAATCTAAACTGTTGAGGTCTGGGACCTTGGTGACCATTCTTGGGGCCCACTGCGGACAATCCAACGATTTGGATAAACAGTTTGTAAATAATTACGAACCGCTACACCGAAATGCGCTGGTGCACTATCATGCATGTACCACATATCGTTTCTTATTACTAAAGGAAAATCATTAAGCAGCAAAGGCAACTGTTGTTGAAGAAAATTGAGGTAAGTCTGTCCGTCAAGTCGTCCCGGCAAGAAGAATGGGCCAATAAAGTGGTTGCCAATAGTTCCTGCCTATACGTTAACCGAAAATTGGTGTTGGAAATGGGTTTCGGTTATGGCATAGGGATTTTCTTCTGCCCACAAATAATTATTGTGGACATTCTGAATGGCATTTCAAGAAAAATTAGCTTCGTCCGTGAACAGAATCATTGATTCAAATTGCGGATTTAGTCTAATTTTTTGAAGATACCACTGACAAAAGGTCACATGCCTTGGAAAATCAATGGGACGTAATGCCTGTACTCTTAAAATATGCTAAGAATATAACAAAATATCCATTTAAAATAATCCAAACAATTTGATGGCCAATATTTAAGTGTCTAGCGATCTTCCTCGTACTCGTTTCAGGATGTTCTTCGACTTTGTGCAGCACTGCTTCCTCAATTTCAGATGTTCTCATACTTAGAGGCCTACCTTCAGATGTTCCTTTTCGGGCAGAACCAGTTTCAACAAAACGACGATGAATATTAGAAAAGGTTCGACTATCTGGCTTGCTCACCATTACCGTCGGCAAGGCCATATATACGTAACGCATTTCCGCCATTTCTGCATTTTAATAATTCACCATTATTAAGATTGTAAAAACTAAACAATGAAAAAGATGTCACAGCGAACAGATTTGAATAACAGAGACTTGTCAGATGTCAAAAGCCACTGACATATTTCAAAGCAATTAGATATTTATTGCTAAATTGCATTCTTCAATTATTACATTACTTAATAGAACGGTTTTTATTTATTTACTCAAAAATGGCGCATCGAAGGGAAACTATTCACGAAAGATCATTTGTTTCAAATTGAACGGGGAAAATAATTTTTATTTGGCAAAAAACTATTGACGTACCATTAAATTTAATTAAAAAATATCGAAGTCTATACCCGTACGCACGCCACTGTTAAAGCTAAAAGTTATTTTTGCATTGAAAAATATTCAACTTTATTAACTTTCACTACGTACTAAATATCTGAAGCGGTTCTGAAAATATTAATTAATTTCCATTTTTTTCTAAAACTTCATCACCCCGATTTTTTGTAAGGCAACATTTTTGGACCATAGTTTATAAAGCAAACTAACATTAATTTTTCATGTAGTTTCACACATTTAAATATTCCCATATCATTAAGGAACACCCTGTATTCGTTGAGTTTTTAGTTTACCCAACTGTTCGGTTCTGGACAAACATTTACGATTTCGTTAGTGGATCTGAAAAAAAAAACGCAAAAAGCAATGTGTGTAAGTGTGCGAAATTCTCATTACCTAACAAAAAAATCTAAAAAAAAATTCATCATGTTGGATTCAACATGGCGGCAATTAATTCATTTTGTATCTACACGAAAACTAAACGTGTGTACAAAATTTCAGTTCTACTGGTTCAAAATTTCGTTCCAAGATTTGTCCCACACTTACTCGTATGTACATACTAACATATATACAGATCAAGTTAATACAAGCTTGTAAGATAGGAAACTAATTTTTTGTTTTCTGATAAACTTTGGATTAACATTCATTTATATTTGAGGAAACTCACTGCAAAACTTGAATTCATGAAAAAAGAAATTTTAAGAAATATTTTGTACAAAGCAAGGTTTGTTTTTGACCTCTGAAGAATTCTTCGACAAATATAATTTTTGCTTACAATCTTATGGAGATTGTGACTTTTAGCTGGTGGCGTAGCATTTCAACAAAAGAGGGGGATATCAGAGTTAATGCGAGTTTTGGAAAGCGGAAAGTTGAACTGGGTGATTTTTTTACCTTCGGTCATACCTATAGACTTGAAGATCTTAAAATAAAGAAAAAGGGACTGTTATTATGTACAGATGAATTTTGCCAATTTTTGACAGTGTAAGGAATGTAGAAGCTGTAGAATTATTTTTATCTTAACATTATGGTAAACTTCAAAAATCTTTTGGCTAATATACCGTCTTTCCGCAATGATTATTCTGCTTGAGTTGGAAGTTTAGCTGGGATAAGTTGAGTTGCCGTCGAGAAAGATCTACAAAGTAAAAACAGGAGAACAAACTTAGCTGACATACTAAACTGTGGAAACCCGAGCATCCAAGTTGTCGCTTCAGTAATCTCGCAATGCGTTGGTTAATCGTAGAAATTAAAGAAATAATTAGCCACAAGGGTTGGTAACAAGTTCCCCGGTAAAGAAAAACTTTCAAGACCTAACGAGGGTCGTCCGTAACGTAGCTATAGTAACGAGATGAAGGTCCATTATCGACAACGCATTGTGTACTAGAAATATGGGAACAAGCTTAAACGATACTTCCCCGCAACAGACGGTCTGCGTCACCGAATGCACTCAAACTCACTCCCCTACGCGCTGCCAGGATACATCAGCTGACCTCTGGCCAGCCACGATTTAACCGCTCAGCTACAGCTTGTCCGGATGTAAACGCTCTGCCGTGAGTGTACAGCAAAAAAATAGCACAAACTACGAATTGAACTGACGCAACGTTGTCGAGAAAACACATCAATGTACGACTCATTCGTGAACAGTTGCATTGAGAATCTATAAAACCTCAAGCACAAAACTCCATGTAACGCAAATGTACCTAACACTTGATTGCTAAGTAACATCGAATTCTAACCAAACTGCTATCCTCCATCGCACCAAAGACAGGCAATCATTGGTAGCTGTTTCGTGCTTTACAGCTACTCATCACCATGCTCAAGGTCAATCGTCTCTGGAACATCGAGTTGTCTCGTAAAGCTGAGTTTACATAACCGTCTCCTGAAAAACCTGTCCGTGCGTTGTTTCACAGCGCAGCCGGGTGGATGTGTTCTGACAAGCTGTAACTGAGCGCCTTAATCCCAGCTGGCCAGAGGTGAGCAGATGTAAACCGGCAGGGCGTAAATAAATAATAAATAAATAAGTAGCGTTTATTGCCCAATAGTTAAGGAAGCCATGTGCAGGACAATCCTAAGTTGAATCAAAATAACAAGAACAGAAAACATCTAAAGAAAAAAAAACAAACAAGAAAAAGAAGCAAAAAAAATATATTTCACTCAAATGAGTAACATATCATAAATTATATAAGCAATTTCTAGCTACTCCCAGAATGCTGTTCAAACTGTCAGCATGCATGTGACAATAATTTGATATTGGATTGAAAGTTTCACAAATCACATATCTGGGTGCCTTCAAAAACAGATTTGTGCGAGCCCTGTCGCAATAAAATGTATTAGCTGTACGAGTTTGAATAGATGGAATATTAAAGTTTATTTGAGCCACAATCTCATTAGCATCAATTTGATTGTGCAGTGGTTTATGCAAGAACATAATTGATGCACTCTTCCTTCTCAGTTCTAAACACTGCACTTGAAACCTAGACAATAATAAACTTTCAGATATACCACGTTCAGGATATATACCGTCAACTTTAGAAGATAAAAATTTTAGAAACTTTCTCTGAACATGCTCAAGAGAATCAATGTAGCAGTTGTAAATTGGGTTCCAAATTAACGATGCATATTCCAATTTCGATCTAATATATGCTGAATACAAAACCAACAGTGACTCTGGGCGGCTAAAGTTTATACAGTTTCTCACAATAAAACCGTACGCCCGCAAAGCTTCACTCACCTTTTGAGCTATATGGAGTGAAAAATTAAGTTTATAGTCAAAAACTACACCCAAATCCTTAATTGAGTTATAACGATTTATGTAAGCATTCCCAATTCTATAATTAAATTTACAAGCAGAAGTTTTCCTGGAAAAGCTGACTACACTACAGTTAGACGCAATAAGAAATAAATTATTCTCGTCACACGCAGCCACTAGGGAATCAATATCATGCTGAAGTGCAATAGAATCAGTCTCAGACTCAATAATTCTGAATAATTTTAAATCATCCGCAAACATCAGCCTTTTACAACTTAAATAATGCACAACATCAATAAATAAGGTAAACAATAAACGACCAAGATTTGAACCCTGAGGCATTCCCGATTTAGTTATATACTGGTACGACTTGAACCCATTAAAACTAACATATTGCTTACTTTCATGAAGATAACTTTGAATGAGTGCTAAAGCTGATGAATGGAATCCATAATAAAAAAGTTTATTCAAATGTATGCCATGGTGTATCCTATCGAACGCTTTAGCAAAATCGGTATCCTTGGGAAAAACCATTATTATACATTATGATGAGGAAGAGAGATGGAAATATACAAAAGTATGTAGGTGCGTGAAAGACACTCGATTGTAGGATCCTATCGGCAGCGTCGCAGTGTGACGGACAACGGGGTAAAGTAGAAGAGTGATAAAAGAGAGAGATGGCAGAACGGGCGCTGGCGCCTACCGCTTAGACGGATGCGCTCAACAAATGCGATTTGTTTCTCCCATTCGCAGAGTTGCCGATACCAATATGTCATACTTCTAAGAAATCTAAGTCTACCCAAATTTCGGGAAAAATAGCTGCGGATTCCACATAAGAGTATTCCAAAAATGAAAAAAGATCAAACTATTAAAATTGTATTAATGTTTCATGGTTCAAATCATATTTTTCATGTTTGTATATTGTTGTATAAATGGTTTTGTAATCCCTATTCTTGTTGCCAGTAGAGACACAACAATATTGAGAGAAATCATGGACCGCTAGTTAGGGCTACAACTACCATATGACTATCAAATAGAAGTGATAAACAGGGTTTGTTTATAGCACAGTTGCCTGGTGTGGCGAATTTGCGCCATAGGGGCGATTTGACAACTTTGAAGGACAACTATAAAGGTTACTATGGTGCCCGGTATTCGGGAATCTGGCAATACCTGATGATTCCTAACGTTTATTACGCCAGATTGTTTGCTGACTTGCGCAGTACAACATGACAATCAACGTGACTGAGCACCTGGTAACCCAGGTTCAAGGTGTTATATTTAAAGAGCTTGGGGCAGTTAGGTATCTAGGTCACATTTTTTAATGTATTTCGAGAAATCCGTAATGTTGAGTAAATACTAGATCACGTTTCTTGCTTAGTTTGCTGAAAATTCTACAATAGACGTACATTTTGAGAAACAGAGATTTGGTGACGACAAAATCGTAAAAATATAACGCATTTTCGTAAAATAATTTCTTTGTTGAAAAGACTGTGGCTTGATGACCCATTGAACGAGTATAGTGTCCCGCTTCGCTTTGAATATTCGAAACACTATACTCCAGCAGCATTCAGCTTCAATGTTATCTTTATGAAGTTCTAACGTCTAGGCCATGCTGATTAAAAGCTTGAATGAATCAACACTTAACTCTAAATTCCCCACAATTCGGGAAGCTCTACTCAAATTGGCAACACAGCGTATCTGCCTATTATTCTCATTCGTGATACAGGTCTGCGGTTAACGGTAGGAAATATGTACGAATAGCGATGAAAGTAGGCGAGCCGATGCTCTGTTGCCAAGAAATGATTTCCCATGTAGAACAATGGTTTTTCCTAAGGTGTATACTACATCTAGTTGACCTTGCCGATCGACACATTCAATAGCGAACTGAGTGAAGATTGTTAAATTAGTTTCTGTGGATCTCTTAGTAAGAAAACCGTGCTGAAAAGGGGACAGAGATCTATGACCTGCGGAGTAAATTCTATTATGCAATATTATCTCCGGCAATTTGGAGAAATTCGACAATATTGCCACCGCTCTATAGTTTTTAATATCAGTGTTATCCCCTGATATGAAAATAGGTGTCGCTCTAGAAAGTTTCCAAATATCAGAGAATGTGTTGGTTTCTATAGTCAGATTGTATATTTTTAATAACGGCTTAAAAAGGCATGAACACAATCTTTGACTATGAACGAGGCGATGTTGTCTAGGCCGGCCGTTACTCTACTCTTGAGTTTTTTAGATGCAGCAATAATCTCATTTTCATGAATTTTATTGCAAAATATGTTAACCTGACTAGTAGGATTCCTGCCTTCAATAAAATCATTAGGAGTAGATGGATCAACAAAAACACTATTAAAAAAATTCGCAAATGCATTGACAGCACAGTAAGGATCGTTCAGTGAGATGTCATTCAACTTCATTTTACCAGGAATCCTAGTAGTTGTATGCATGAAGCTCAAAAATGTTTAGGATCTTGAGAGATGGACATCTGAACATTACGTGTATAATATAAACGTAGCTGAGTATACGAGTACATTAGGTTATATGTAGCGAAAAGGTTATGTTATGCCCCTTCCGCCTGCAAGGCAATTGTAAGCAGACCTGTGAAGTTATTATTTTTTTTACAGCAAGAAAGTGTGCTACTTGGCTCCAAATTCTGATTTCAGTAAAAAAGTATGTAAAAATAAATAACTAGTCAAGGGAGCAATAAAGATTGGTGCCATTGAACTCGTGCATTTGTTTAACTTGTTTTAAGATGAATTTAACACAAATCTTGCATTAGCCGCCACATTTCCTGAATCTACCCATTATGTCACTTGTGTGACAACAAAAACTTTTTATGCAGCTACAAAGAAACTTTTTAGCTAATGTTTCTCTTTACTCTCTACTTCCATTCCCATAAGGTATACTCATCTTTTATTGAACCCCTAGTTGGAGCTTTTACTTTTAACATATACTCATACTTAAAACTTGACTATAAGTTGAAGACACTTTTTGTAAATGGGGAAAAAAATAATATTTATCTGCAACACTTATGAATGTTTCTTGATCAGACTACAAAACAGCGAAGTGAATGAGAAACTTTAATCCCCATGAAAAAAATACGTCCTGTGCTTTTGATTTTTCCCAAAAGTCTGACTTAACAAACCAACGCAGGAGGCACCAGCAATTCATTCAATTCTCCATGGCCATTCACATGTAAGGAAACTTACTCTCTCTGTGTACCTCATAGTCTGACGGAATAGCAGAAGACTTGTCGTTCGTGCCGAAAGATGCTGAAAATGGCTCTATTATAACGATGTGCCAGCCAAGGCTCAGAATAAAGTTTCGGTCTTTGATGATGAAGACCCCATAGCTGTCAGATAATCCCGATCTGTATTTTTCAAATCGAGCGGGATTAAGGATCGTGTCGTTTTCGACACACAGAATTTTGTTCAAATTAACTGTTAAATAACGATCATGCAAAAAAATTGAAAACGTTTGTTGTTATACAGGGTGCAACTAGAAGTTGCATTTTGCCCTAAATTTCTGAACACCTTGTGGAAACATTGGATTACTGAATCATGTGTCTTCGTATTAAAATTTCAAGCCTCAACTTTTCTCAACAGTTCTTTTTTTGACGAATGTCAATATCTCAATTATTGAAGAATATATGCAGTTTTGAAGAAATTCATGCGAATCATAGCCATAAACAAGAAATTGTTTCAAGCAGACTTTGCCGGATAAGAAAATGTTTCAATTAGGCTGTGTCTGTTAGCATTTTATGGCATGTCAAAAAGATTCTTGTCAAGCAATACTCAACAAAAATGACACCGGAACAAGTAGCGCAAGCTGCAGCTTTACAAGATGATGGTCGTCCTATTTGGTATATTGCTGAAATAGATGTAAAGGTTAAAAAGTGATGTCAAATTTAATTTGAATAAAATTTTGTTTGTTCGCTTAGTTTTGCCTGGCAGTGTATATTGTAAGGGTATGATGTTATTTTGGTGTGACAAGGGAATTTAAGAAGTATCCTGCGCACAAATCTTCCTTGAAGATTTCAGTGGGTGATCTTAGGCCCATATCGTCAGTCGTCCCTACAATTGTAGAGCGCGTTTATGGCCTCCTTGATTGTCATACTCCTTTCTCTCCTTCAAAAATTTCTAGATTACACTTGTCCCGTGTCAGCGTCCGCGCTCTCCTATTGTGAAGATATGTTTTCTTTTTAAATTGTAGGAAATTGCAGGCTGATAAAACATGATATAACTCAAACGCAAGCACAATTTGATGCAAATAGATGTTTGTGACAAAACCTCAAAATAGATCACTGACATGGAAAAATAGAAAACTATGACAATCAAGGAGGCCATAAACGAGCCCTACAATTGTAGGGACGACTGACGATACGGGCCTTAGTTATTCTCCAACTGTCTCTAGTGTAAGGCTGATTATGAATAATAATTATAAGAAATCGATGACTTTGACTGTTGTTAAATTTCGTTGCAGCCTCAATTTCCATCTTCACAGCAGGAATCAACTATGGCTGGCCCCTTCCTTCCTTGAAACGTATAATGTCAGATGAATTCCCTCTCGAAGTAACCGAGGAAGATGCTTCGTACGTTACCATCGCTAATAATGTGGGTAACTTAATAGGAGGGGTTCTCGCAACCTTCCTCATCGACAGAGTTGGAAGAAAGCACAGCTCTATGGTGTATGGAGTCTTGTTGGTGGTCAGCTTGGTAATGATATACCTGTCATGGCTGCATATGGGACTACTTTATGCTGCTAGGATCATAGGTATGTTGAGCAAAATGGTAATAGTATATGTACAAGTTGGCGGGTTTTTGTACCCAGGCGTAGTACCCCAAGAATAATCTATCTTCAAGTTGAGCGCGTCCAGCCAACGTAAAGCGGCCTTGCGGTGCAGCCCTTTTATACTGAATCGAAGTAGCATGGGTCTGCTTGATAAGTGATAACTTTGACAGCAGCCTTCACTTGGCAGTTAGATTCAGTAGTCTGCAAAAAAATGTTGCTTCACAGCCCGGTTCTAAATAAATAAATATTACTTGGATTTTATCAATTGAAATCAACGCTCTCTTTCGTCCTTGGCATAGTAGTAACCTTATGTGAAAGTTTCATCAAAATCCCAGAGATGTTATCCAAATTATAGAGGGTTCAAGGATCAGCGGATAGATAGACAGACATACCGACATGACTTTTCATGAGCTATGTTATGTAACACTAAAAAGAATAATATCTCAGTTATGGAAATGTTTGCGATCACAATACTTCCTCGCCAGTTGGCGTGGAATAAAAAAATGGAAACCTCCTTGGGACTGTTCTGGCAACGAAAAATTTGGAGGTTATTGCTTATTAAGACTATTTCGTATATGGAGGTATTTCTCACTCAAGATCATAGCGAAAGTAATTTCCAAGTTTAATTGGAATCGGAGCTTTCGCTTAAGTGAAATTGACTTTTTTTGAGGGATCGTGAGAATTTGGGTTTCGTAAGACCAAAGCACAGTTCGTGAGACACTTCATTTCTTAGAGTTAAAGTTAAATGATTGGAGGAAGAGAATAGGGAGCTTTATTGCTACATCTTGTCAAGAAAGAGTTGGCAGGAATTGTTCTCATGCATTTGCTTCCGAGGAAATGCGTTTACTGAATTTGAATGTCGGTATCATCCTTCCAAATTTCCAATAGTTATCTCCACAATTCATAGATCAAAAAAATACTATTCAATACTCATGAAAATTACATGTAAAAGATTGATCTTATGCATCCATTTTTCAAATTTTCCATAACCACAAATTGAAAATCATATCCTATCGTCATTGATATAATTAGAAGAATCGTGAAGTTACAGTCTTAATGCAAATAAATTCAAGCCAGAAGGAAGATCTGTTATTTGTTCATATTAAGCTTTTGAAAACGTTTTCTCCATCAGAAAGCACTACAAAGAATGTTGTGTGACAATTTGAGTCCATTGCATCGATATATGTAACTCAAACATGTCCGTTGCCGATTTTGAGCATATTTACTACTTTAAAAGGAATTTGTTTACTGTGCGATTAGCGAGCTGATAAGTATTTCAAACCGAGGAATGAACTTTTTTCTTGCTGCCACTGAAATAATTTTCATAGAGTATCATGACCCTGCATATTCTTTTCTGAGTCTCATCGAAATCGGTGAAGCAATCTCTGTAACTACGTACATTGAAAAAATTTCCATTAGAAAAATCTCGCAATCATAGTACTTCTGTCACTTGTGTGCCAAGTAAAATTGGCTTGTAGCAACTTGACAAAAGCATTCATTTTAAATGATTGGTGGTACCTAACACTTCCAAAGCATGATGCTGATTAGATTTCTTAACATGTCCCAGTCATGAGACTTAATATAGGGGTGATCTGAAAGTCATAGTCAGGTTAAGTTATGGTCAATTTTTTGCCTGATACTTTGTACTTTGACCGCGAAAATAGGCGGAAATTCTTAGTTAATGATACGACCTCTGGTGTAAATCGTTTTCACCTTGATTTGACCTCCAAGATAAGGGACAAGGTCAGTATCAAGGTCACCAGTGAATATCCAGAGAAAAATTGATGCCTCTGATAGCTTTGGGGTTCTTATTGTTTTATCTTTGGAAAGATCCTAGGGATCTTCTAAAACGAAAGTTTGTTCACGACGACTTTGGCCAAAACATTGAAGGTCAACATAATTTTCAAATCCAAGGTCATATCCAAACGTTCCCTGTAAAAGTTTTCCGCTCTATCCGCTTCAGGGATGAAACGTATAGGATCTCTTAAAAAGGATCTTGATTTGAACATCAAGATTATGAACAAGTTCAAACTCAAGGTCACCAGTAAATAGCCATGGAACGTCTTGCTGTAGTGGGACTTTGAGTCACCTTATAAGATGATTATATTGCTCGATCCTTACATTCAGTATTGTTTTCAGGTGGAATAGGAGAAGGAGGGCCTTTCGTCATCATGGTGACCTACTCTGCTGAGTTGGCCTCTCCTCAAATCCGAGGAACACTTTGCTCGCTCCTCACCATAGCCTACATTGCTGGAAGTCTATTCATCAACATTGTCGGCTCTTACTTTGATATCCATACAACCGCGTTGATCTGTCTTGTATTTCCTTTGATATTTATTGTTACCATTGCTTGTATGCCCGATACACCGTATTACTATCTAATGAAGAAGGACGATGACGCTGCAGTAAGGAGCTTGAAGTTCTTCCGAATGAAGGAAGACGTTGAGAAAGAAATAGAAGAGTTAAGGGTAGCTGTTGCAAGACAAATGTCTGAAAAGGGTAGACTTGTAGATCTAATTTTGATTGATTCCAACAGAAAGGCACTCATACTGACAACTTTTGCAAGAATATTCCAGCAATGGAGTGGTGCAAGCGCCTTTGGTCAGTTTTACCAAACAATGCTAGAGCAGTCAACCGATATGTCACCTGTACTTGGGTCTAGTGTTATCATTATAGTTCAGATACTTGCTGTAGTACTTTCAACATCCTTTGTTGACAAACTTGGAAGAAAACCAATAATTGTCGTATCCTATGGTATAAACTGCATAATTCTTGTAGCCTTAGCTACTTTTATGATCATCAGAGATGAGACTGCCATCGATACTTCTAGTTATGCGTGGTTACCCCTACCTTTGCTAACAGCTTTCACAGCTTCTTTTTGGGGAGGTGTAGGCAACGTTTTGGGGTTCTTGATTAACGAAATGTATTCTACCAGCATAAAACCTGTAGCTTTAGCTGTAGCTAGTATTGTGTATGCAGTATCTGTGATGACAGTAACAAAGTTCTTCCATTTTACAATGTACCAATTTGGAATGGCAATACCGTTATATACGTTTGCGTTTTGTAGTCTCGTTGGTATTTTCTATTACCAGTTTCTACTGATTGAAACGAAGGGCAAGACTTTAGAAGAGATTCAACTGGAATTGAAAGGAATCAATAAATATAGAAAGAATTCTGCTTGACAATCGCAATGAATGCGAATTTGTGTATGTGATTTATGCTAGTCATGATAAACATGAAAAAGAGGTGTGGTACAGATTGATTGTTGAATATGACAATACCTAAGAATAGTACTACAAGTTAGTGTGAGAGCGTTCGTCCAACGTTTTGTACATGGTAATAATCAAATATGGAACAACAATTCAAGTGGTAGTGTATAGAATATTCTTGGAATATTTTGTTGGTGATTTACTGAAAGATAGCGAACACCTTTTTAGGCAGTATCAGTATACAAAAATTATGTGACCTTTTAAATCTTAGACACCGGCCATCCAGTATTTTGAGTCCTCCAATCATGTGATACTTGAATCTTTTTAATAAATACTACTTTTTTAATTCATGTTTCAGTTCACTTCACTTCATGAAGGTCTGTGTAGTTAAGTCATGCCAATTTTTATCATTGACATCAGGTGTATCGTCCAATTTGTTACTTAATATACAGGGTGGCGCATCGAAAACGAAACACGCATTTACTGGCAGCTCAGTTTTTTTTTTGAAAAACGCTCAAACCCGTAGATTTTGTTTTCGAGAGGGACACAAGCTTGGCAAAAAAACACGTTAGCACGTGCAGCCCTCTAAGCGGGGGTGACACCACCACCAAAATCTTAAATGGAAAGGGGGGTCGAGTGATACATTATTTTAAAGGTCTTTCAGTTCCCTTCATAATGATATAAAATTAATGTACTTCAGCTCAGTAGTTTGGAAGATTTATTGAGTTAAAGCTTAAATAAAACTAATATATCATCATTAGTGGAGATCAATACATTTGGCAGCAAAGTAATTTAGAAATGAAGAATGAACTGACCCGTTAGGCAAGTAAATGTTGAAAATGGCCACCATGACTCTCCATGCAATAATAAAGATTTTGGTCAAAACGTTGCCGCACATTTTGCAATATTTGAGGATTAATTTGAAGGCGCTCATTCACAATTCTTTGTCGCAGGTCTTCTAATGATGTTGGCTGAGTAGCATACATTTTGCTTTTTAAATGACCTAACATAAAGAAAACCAAAGGTGATAAATCTGGCGATCTTGGGGGCCATTCAATGGCACCTCTTCTACCAATCCATCGATCTGGAAACGTCTGGTCTAAATATTGTCGAACACGTAATGCGTAATGTGGTGGGGCACCATCCTGCTGGAACATCAACCTATTCGCAATGTACCGCCGATCATTCTGATTTTCAATTATAGCTGTTAATGCAGGATCTATGGTGTCTTGCAGTAATTCCAAATACATTTCACCGGTTAAATTTCCAGGTAGGAAAAAAGGACCAACTAAATGATCGCCAAAAATACCAGCCCAAACATTTAATTTTTGTGGCTGCTGTGTATGAACCTCATGATATATTCTGGGATTAGAATCGGACCAATATCGGCAGTTATGACGATTTACTACGCCATTTAAGAAAAAGGAACATTCATCGGAAAAGCAAGTCTTGAATAGAAAATGTTCATCGTTTATAATTCGTTCACTCATATCTTCACAAAATTGTAATCGCCGATCAAAATAGTCTTCATTAAGTTCTTGTACCAGGTGAATTTTATACGGATGAAAACTACGGGCTTTTAGAATCCGTTGGACAGTACGTCGAGTAACACCACAAACAGTCTCCAATTTGCGGGTACTTAACGTAGGATCTACATAAACTTGCCCTAAAACCGCCACTTCTATTGCTTCGTTTCTTATGGGATTTTCAATGTTGCGTTTTTTATTGGCGACTGACCCAGTTTTCCGAAATTTAGCTACAAGTTCTAGAACATATTTTCGATGCACGTTACTGTTCTCATGTCGCTCATTAAATATTTCTGCTGTTCTATTAGCGCACTCATTATTTCCGAAAAATATTTCGATAAATTCAACTCTTTCTGCTGTGGAATATACCATGGTTAATTTATGTAATAAAGCGTTACAAGTTATTTTAGCAACAAGGTTTGGTCAAATCAATCGCAGACTGTGTACTAAATTCCGATTTAAAATAAGTACGAGATATTTCCTTATCTTTCTTCAAGAAGTAACTTTTTTTGCCACAAAAAAACGCTCCAATAGCTATTTTCAACAACAAAATGATAAACAGGCCATGGGCGTAGTGAAGAAAAGCATTTACATATTAAGTAAATTCTTTTAGTCAATTTTTTTCTGAAAGTAGTACAAACTAATCTGATGTACCTATTAAGCTTTGATTCAATAAATCTTCAAAACTACTGAACTGAAGTACATTAATTTTATATCATGATAAAGGGAATTGAAAGACCTTTAAAATAAGGTATCACTCGACGCCCCTTTCCATGTAAGATTTTAGGGTTTTAGGCCCAGGGGGCTTCACGTGTTAATGTGATTTTTTGCCAAAGTTGTGTCCCCCTAGAAAACAACATGGACGGATCTAAACGTTTTTCCAGAAAAAACTGAGCTGCCAGTAAATGCATCGTTTTCGATGCCCCCCTTTATATACGGTGTGCACAACCAACATATTTTGATACCTATTAAACTACATATGTGTTAAAATTTGTAATCCTTAAATGTAGCAAACCATAATTTGTTTCTTCGAACGGCGTTTTACAGAAACTTTACTTTCGCTTGATTTCAAAATTTACTGTATCAGTTCATAACCTACTACATAGTTAAAATCACGACGAATTGATTTAGGTCGGGGTTTCTATTTTACCTGTTTGTCGGTACTGTAGCACTATTGTTACGTTTGGCTATCATAAGTCTGTATAAATGTTTTTACTTCCCACGCCTACTGACCAGTATTGGAATCACGAAAACGAGGTATTAATGTTTCTTGGATGTTGTATGACATATATGTATATCACGAAAAACCATATCACTCATTTCTGTCGGTTTGTCTCTCTTTCGGTCTGTCTATATGTCGTATTTTTCACACACTTGATGTCATTCTTTGTATCTATAATTGACATCGGTAAATCAAATAATTATTTTGACCTGTCATGGACAAAATACCTGGAGGATACTCCAATACGTCTTTTCCAAAGGCAGCATTATTGACTTTTAAATTGAAACTTTCTGCTGTAAAAATCTATTTGGATTTAGCGAGTGACGTCGCATTTGCCTGTGATTTCTTGCCGGTTGCGCTATCGTGGTTCTGTTACGAAGCCATCTAGAGCATAAGATATCATCTCGGATCAGGGTATCTCATTCGAGCGAGAATTCAAGTCACTCAGATTTTAAATCTTCAAAGAAACCATACGTCCCCGTGGCGGTCTTGCAATTGCGAAATCTCGGTAACAGAAAGATGGATTTCTGTAAAGCGATATACAGCATAACCATAAGCTCGCTTATAACACTACAGCCAAAGCACCGCTTTTCAAAACTATCAAAAGGTACTTAGATAGATTATCTATTTATTTACTGTGAATACGCACACACAGTTAGATCAGCGGAAATAAATAACAGATTTTTAATGTAGGCACAAAACATCTTTTCTTATTAATTGAGGACTCTAGCCATCATACAACTAAAAGATTGAATTCAATGTGTTACAAAATGTTGTCAGATTTAGGCAGATTTAGCACACAAAAGAAATTAAAAAATGCTGATATAAGCATGGGTTTGGAAAATCCCAGTTCTCATAATGTAGTATTTGTCCTTTGTTGTACACTGGTGCTAGCAAAAATAAATAGTTTCTCCTCCAGTCAGCTAGCCATATTTATTTAGCGTGCAAAACGTGTTCTAGTGAAGTCGGTTCTGGACGTTAAGTTCGGTAGAGAAGTGCAGATAACTATTTCTTAATAAAGTTAAATACATTGGCAAACTTATTAGTAAAATGATTTTTATTTAGAAAATGGAAAAATGGCGTATCCGAACGCAAAGCTCCAAGAATCAATCTAGCCTTAATATCGCGTTACTATTTAATACACAACTCAAGCACTCATCTATTATTACAGGAATGTTAGTGTATATAGAATTGAATAAAATGTCTGATTGATTCAATATTTATCCATCTTTAACAAGTAAATAATTGCTTGTCGGTTGTAGTTATATAGTACATAGATAAAAAAAGACAAGACGATGTAGGTTATCCACTTTAACAGGACCCATGCCTATAACGGACACAGACATCATGCAAAATAGATACGTAGAACATCCAAGAGCCTTCCAAAAGCGAACTGCCAACAGTGCTCTCAAATTCTGGACATTCATGACAGCACCGGTAGCACATACCGAGTGTTTCAAATTCGACCCTCACCATTGGGATCTCGGAAACTGTAAGAGATACGAAATCGAATGGGGTCAAAGTTGCGTAGGTAAGTAACAACATGTTAAGAGTTGTTCCGCAGAGAGACGAAAAAAAAAACGAATCTTTCCAAAACATTTTTAAATTTTTCCTGTTTTTATTTGTAGTGGTATCTTAAAATAAGTTGCACATTAACATTCCCACCTTTTCTCCTTTACAAGATGGCATGATTAGAATTTCAATATGACGTTTGGTGTCTTATCCTCAATCATGAACCGTTTTTGCACAGTTAAATAGACAATTTCCTAGGCAGGCCTTGATTTTATATTTATAGTCACTTGTTTCGTATACGAGACCAGACCTCAAATTAATGATAGGTACATAGTTTGGAAAAGAGAAAAAAAGGGAAATAAATCAGAAAATAAACAGTGACCAATGTAAAGGGTTTGCCTACAAAATAATCGACATTCTGAACATTTGTTATGATTTACCTCTGCTTATTCATTTGATTCTTTTTGTTATTATCATCAATAAAAACTTCATTTAGTATTTAGGTTTCACCATACCTTTCAATTTACTTATAATTTTTGTTCCAATAACAAATTCATGGCCAATAAAGCAAATTTTACGACTGAAAAGTCCATTTAAATGTACAAAATTCCAATAGTGTTCATCTGAAAAAACAAAATTGGTGATGGAAGTCGAAAGAAGAAACCTCGTATCGAAAATATGACTACGCCATCTTGTAGAGGAGAATGAATGGCAATGACACCATCCAATTTATTTTAAAATCACATCTCAAATAGTCAGGAAAAAATGAAAATGAATTTGGGGTAAATCTGCTATGTGAAATAAATGACAGTCCGTGTGATCTGAATTTCAAGGACTACCTAGGAAAATTTGCTTTTTGAAAGTAACTTAGGTTTGGCAATATCAATGTATGACGAATTATACATTTTTGAAATCGTAATTAAAAAAAAATCCAATATGGGGTTCTCAAGAAAAAATAAATTTGATGTTAGAGGGCAACATACGAAACGTCGTATTGAAGTTTTAATCATGCCATCTTGTACAGGAGAAAAAGTTGCAGTATTGGTGTGCAGTTTGTTTTGAAATCTTATATATATATATAATCAAAATCCTATCTACCCGAAGGTGTAAGATGTATGAAATAGTATAATGTAAACCTACTTCCCGTTCAAACTTCTGTTGAATATATCATTGCAGCCCAATGCTTTTTGTTTTTTGTTAGCTTCACTGCATCTTTCCAGTTGCAAAGTTGGTGTGCAGTTTGTTTTGAAATCTTACCACAAATAAAGTCTGGAAAAAATCGAATCGATTTTAAGAAAAATCAGTTTTTTCCGTCTCTCTTCTGGAGTATTTTGAATTTCGAAACTTTCAAAACGGCATTTTGTAGGTACCTGAATACGCAACTTTGACCCATTTGAGCGGCTTCGTATCTCTTGCGAATTGCAGTTTTGCGTAAATTAATTGAGGTTTTATTCCTTCTTTCGAAAAAGATCCTTAATTTGATTTCTTTTCATATTTATATATCATCTGCAGCATATAAGTAACAATAAAGGTACAGTATGAGTATAGTGTACCCACTTTTCTCTTGTCCACTTTGCCGACACCACATACTTTGGAACTATCCTGTTTTCTATCAAAACTGTCAATTCAATCCATCTTGCTAATATGACGAGGAAAGTACTTGAACATACGTTAGATAGCTTTAAAAGCCCAGTGTGGAAACGATGTGCATATAACCGGGGATATTTGCTCTGCCCGAGTCTCCCATACTGGTTTCCGCCTTTGATAATATATTTGCAAGTCTCAATATTTGAATTTGTTTTCGAGAGATGAGTGGTGAACTATCTAATTCGGGCAACTTATATTACTGTAATATAATAATATAATAATTATTATTGCTATTGCTTGCTTTTCTAATATGTGAACGTGCTAAATATTCGTCTAATTTCCCTCTAAACATTCTGTAATGTCTTGTAGAAGCTGCGTTGATATTTATCTTAGAAAGAAGAGCAAAATCTTCATCACGTGCGGTTTTGTTTTCGCCCAGAGAGAGATAGTGATGGATGATAAAATCAATCACATGATAGATAAGGTTCGGGAGTGAGGGAAGTAAAAGTAGTAGCTATTGATCGTGACGCTGATGATAAGCGATGTCCTCAACCTAAATAAACTGTTTTCTGTGCCTGAGCCCTTTGTATTTGGCTTGTCACTTCGGAGTATTCCTCGTTAACCTATAATTAGATCTTTGCGATTTCCCCTGCTAATCACTATCAATAACGTAATATTTGGCGCCGAAATGAACAATCAACCTATCATTGGCGCAATAAAACACCGAGTATCATAATATCCGATGTCTTGTCCCAATTACGCCCTTATTTGCTCTGAAGCTATTAGAGGTTGTTTACAGAGGGGTATTAAAAAGGTGCTTTTCTACGTACACTGCCACACTTCCACTGGACAGGCTCATTTGTCTTGTTTATCGGATATTTTGATAGCTCAGTTCTCCAACGTTACCTCTCAATTAACAACGAGGATCGATAAAGCTGTGCCTCTTTGAGGAATATTCGTAAAGCTTAGCCTCGAAACTATGAAGTTTTGCATAACTTGTTACGCTGGATGATCCCTTTTGTTATTATTATTTTTTATTTTTGAAACACTAAAAGTCTATCTGAGTAAGTTTTTTCAAAATAAGATAGCCCAGTTTGATATAATTTTTCATTATTTAATAACAGCCTAAAAGTTCTGCCACTATGGATTTTTGTATCGTATTCGAGATAGTTGCAGTTAATATAGTTTAATACTATAGGGTGGGCATTCTATTGGGTTCTTTTTTAAATTGGTATTAAAACTACACTCTTCAATAATATGTAGCACTCGATACTTTATTCAGAAGAATACACCTTCCGATTATTTATCCGATTATTTATGAAAAACAATTTCAGTTAAATGGCTGCCGTGACTGGCCTGGCAGTAGTCCAGTCCCATAATCCAATTTTGAAGCAAATTTTCGATAGTTTGTGGGTCTATGTCATGAATATCTCGACGGATATTTTCCTCAAGAACACTAATTGCTTGAGGATCATTAGTGTAACAGCGGTCCTTAACAGTACCCCATAGGAAGTAATCCATGGGCGTCAAATGATAGCTGCGGGCTGGCCAATGAACGTCTGCAAAATGGCTGATAACGCGATGCCCGAACTTAGTGTGTAAAAGATCGATTGTTTCACGGCTGGTATGGCATGTTGCGCCATCCTGCCGGAACCAGAGATTGTGCAAGTGCATGTCGTCTGATACTGGTCACAGAAACTCATCAACATGTCTCTATAGCATTTCCTGTTTACCGTCACGATGTTACCATGTTCATCTTGAAAAAAAAATGGAACAATAATCTCACCACTTCAGAAGCCACACCAAACAGTTACTCTTTTTGGATGCATAGGTTTCTAGAACAACATGTGGATTTTCAGAACCCCAAATCCCACAGCTCTGCTTGTTAACGTAACCTCCCAGATGGGCGTCGTCCGAAAAGATGATTTGGCGACCAAATTTGACGTCCGTTTCTAGTTGATTTAGAGCCCACATTGATAAACGATATCGAAGCGGATGGTCTATTTGTTTCAACTCTTGCAAAAGTTGCACCCTGTAAGGAAATAATCCAAGGTCAATATTCTCCGCACGGAAGTGCGACTTATGCCCACTTGTTGTGCTCTGTGACGAGTTGACATTCTTGCGTTATCACGCCCACTGTGAGCAACAGCAGCAATGTTTTCGGCCGTACGTACGGGTCGAACACACTCATACCTTCTGTTATCCACAAGCAGTCCAGTTTCACGAACCTTCTTCACAAATTTTCGTATACCAGTCGCGGACGGAGCTTCATTCCGACCAAATAGTCTTCTCGATTTTCTCAAAGTTTCTGCAACACCGCACTCACTTTGAAAATAGTTGTTCAATACTTCCCACCTTTGTTCAAGATTAAAATGATCCATTGCTCACAGCGGAAGTTTGACACAATATATCTGTAAATTAAGTTGAGCATGGAAGTGTTACCAACTGTCAGAATAATACTCACTTAAAAAAAACCAACTGACAGCTCACCCTTTACTTAGGCCCGTATCGTCAGTCGTCCCTACAATTGTAGGGCGCCTTTATGACCTCCTTGATTGTCATAGTTTTCTACTTCTCCGTGTCAGCGCTCTATGTCACAAACATCTATTTGCATCAAATTGTGCTTGCTTTTGAGTTATATCATGTTTTATCAGCCTGAAGTTTCCTACAATTTAAAAAGAAAACGTATCTTTACAATAGGAGAGCGCTGACGCTGACACGGGACAAGTGTAATCTAGAAATTTTTGAAGGAGACAAAGGAGTATGACAATCAAGGAGGCCATAAACGCGCCCTATAATTGTAGGGACGACTGACGATACGGGCCTAACAGTGGATTCTAGCAAAATTACTGTCGATTTTATTTTAACAAAACGTATTGACACCTACATGCAGGTACCCAATGTGGTACGGTTTTGATCAACGACAACTGCCAATGCATATGACAGATTATGGGCGTAAAGTGCATGAAATAATGTATTTGCACAAGCAAACTTTCCAAAATATGCGAGATATTTATAAACAATTATCACAATGCTAGTTTTTTCTTTTAGGAGCCTGTACATCTAAGTAGAGGGTCCATTAAGAGATCTTGACATTGTATGTAGACCGGCAGCGCACTGTTTAACCGTTTGAAAATCGCTGTAACGTAATATGAAGAACAGTACACAAAGTATTCAAATGTCATCTAACTTCTATTATGTTAGACAAATATCCGAAAAATGATTGGAACAACATTTCTCAGACTCATGGTACGTGACAATTAATCTTGTTATTGTATATGATCATAATATATTATTTCATCTCTTTAACGGACAAATTATAGAAATGCTCAAACAATAACCATATGTAATTTCAGTAGCATTAATAGCTGCTATATCCACAGTTTCTGTCGTATTCGGGCGCTAGACATTAAGCTTAGCTGAGCCCGATTCAACTATTGTACGGTTTAGTTGCCGTCCAGGAACTATCTTCGTTTTCGCTCAGAAAAATATTCTATTTCGGTTGTTTGGAGAGCTTTATTAAAAAAAGGGCCCCCTCTTATAAATGCGAATGTTTCCAGACCAGAAATACTGTGTAAACAATTTTCCAAAAGATTTTTTTGCTACGTACAAGGTTTATTTAGGTTGTTCTATGCATGAGGTTCTTATGAACTTTTCTCTAGAATTTTCAAGATGTAAGCGATTTAACAAATAATATGAAAATATGGATATTCTGGGTGAGCGCGAGATAGATGCAGCATAGGGGCGGCGAACGAATGCAGACTAGGTAGAAGGAACCAGGCAAGGATTTGTTTGTCTCTTAGTTCTCATAGTATGTACTGAGGATCAAAGTGCGCTTGACGTAAGTCAATTTTTTTACAGTTCTGTCATTGAATTTGTTAATTCTTGAAAGTAATAATAATAATTCCTTCATTCCCGTAAGACTATTACATAGAGTGTTGGAATTGTCAGTCATCATAAGCTAAAAATGGTACATTCACATTTAAAAAAAACTAAATACAATGGAAGAAAACTATTTGGTATCACGTAATTGAACAAAATCATATAAGAAATATGAAAGATTATTTATGAAAAATTATCTGACCTTCCTCTTAAAAAGTTCAAGAGTTTGCAGATAATTGTGGTGTTGTTCCCGACATTGTATTTCTTACATCATTTGCAAAGAGTGGCACATGCCATTTTCTTGATACAACGATGTCACTTTGGTAGGCATTGTTAGACAAATGAGTATAAAGTATGTACTAAAACTACGCAATTTTGGCGACAAACAATGCAGTGTAAACATATATGATTGGCTCATTCTAATCTATTCGAATTTTTTGGAGACTGCCGACAGCTGGATCTCTCTAGCGCTCACGCAAAATATACATGTGCTTGATTAGTAATTGAAAGACAAACGCTTACGATGATAGTACCCCCTAAAATGCTCTAGGCTTTTGTTGATGGATGTTTACAGAATATTAAGGAACTTTGGCAATGTTAAAATGTTTGCTTTCCATGTTGGTATTCGGCCTTGCAGATGGTATTTAATAAAAATTTAACCGTAGCAAATAAAGCAATATCTAGAATTTGCTTACAAAAGGAATTGAACAATTTTTGTAGCAGTCCTGGCTATGGAGGTTCATTAAGAGGGGTTTTTGAATCACATTATGAAGAAAACCGAATCAGAATATTTTTCATAGCAGAAGATATCTCCTGGACTATGGTCTTTGGTACTTGCGGTTGTTCAACCGACACTTGGGGAGAAATTTGACCTCCGACTATCGCGCGGCTACTGTCTAAAAATTTTTTCCGCACGTGACTTTGCTTTTTCTAGTCTGCTTATATCAACAACAGCTCTCAGCCCCTTTGCTATACGTCACTGACTACTGTAACTGAAGTTCAGTTACACGTCACAGTCACGTTTGCACGGAAAATTAATTTTGCAATCAGTTCTGAACAGCAGCGCAGGTCGTCATATCAATACGTCTGAACAAATCGTAAACTGTTCTGCTAATTGATATGCACATGTGTATATGCCATGAGTTCAGTATAGCATTATTGATAAAATACTGTTGCAAAACTTCCGGATCGGTAATACAAATCGGTAACTCCGGTCTGTAACTGACATGTAATGTAACGATTTGTTTATAGCATATGTTTGCAGTCGAAATTACGACTGCCAAAGTTTGGAATTATAACCCTATTCTTCAGGATAACATCGACATGAAATTTGTGCCTTTAGAGGTTTTCTCCAGAAGCAATCGATGTGTATAATTTTTAAACCAAGAGTAAGTTGTAGTATAACTAACAAGCTGTGGATGACCGAATACGGAAGCAAACTGTTGTTATAACTCAGTGATAAAGAATATAGAACATCCAGTGAAAAGATTTTATTTGAATGAAACGTTGTAAGACATGAGCGGAAGAGGAAATTGTGGCTAAGTTCTGAAGTGAAAATATTTACGGTTTGGTTAGATTTCGGTAATTGAGTGTTGGCCTGCCTTTCCGTCATACAGAATCGTTTTTACTGAGTGTTCTATTTCATTTGTCACTGAGTATAATGTGGATTAGTCTCTGTCGGTATCGCTGTACGACACAAGGTAATAGCTAGTGAAAACTACGAGGGATTCTGGGTTGATTGTATGATCCTATCTGTTCGATAACGTTACGGTATTTTATTATGAGTCTATATTTCAGTACATAATTATGCATTTATCTGACAATGGCAGCTTATGGGATTATTTCTAAATGTTAATATAGCAATCATCCAATACGCATCAGTTTATATAAACCTAGATAACAAACTGCGTACATTAGTTTTACCTCACTCTATGTGCAACTTTCAACAAATATATGGACTTTTTTCATGCTTTGAAGTATGTAGAAGGCAAAATTGCGAATAGTGAACAGACATTATCGAATCAGTGGAAATGCTTGATCACGCACGAAAAAATAAAATTAGGTTTTTACAAGTCGAGGACAAACAATTAAAACGAGCCATATGAGTTTACTAAGGTTGACATAATTTGTTTCAGTCCTAGGTACGGGGTGATTCAACATTCAACTTTTTATCGAATATCGGCACGTGATTCGATTAACACTCTCACCCTATTGTTAATAACTGACAAAAACCTTGAGTCACCTGTTGCATATTCAGCAACAAAATTGTATGGAATTCATAAAATGAAGTGAATAGTACAGTTTTGATTTTAATTTCAGTGCATTGTAGTACATTATTCATTTTTGAAATCTCATATTAAAAGTACGATGTAAAAAACTCACTTTCTCGTTCTCTAATATTGTATTTTCTTGTAGATGTACTAGCCAGGCATATGAAAGACACATAGAACGATTGACGAAGTGATGAAGAATTAACATTAATTATTACTGCAAAGGATACTCTATAAGATGTGCAGTAAGAAGCTGTCAGCCGTAATTAATGTGGAGCGTGTCCCAAAGTTAACAAATACCTAAACTTTCAGTAGGCGATAGTTAGGGAACGTGCTACAATTATGCAAAGTGCT